CATGGTATATAATTTTGATGTAAAATGTCTTTAGGTATTATCTCAAAATCTATTTTTATATCTAATTATAAAATTTTAAATTTAAAAAATAATTAAAATACAAGTAGATATATAAACATATGAAAATCTTGAAAATGGACGGTGTAGATAATATGTTGCAAAATGCACTATTTTTGAGACTTAAATTTTTTTTTTTTTCATGGTCATACATCTCGATGTCGAGATGATCAATCAAAGGGTTTTTCAACATTAAAATTACATTTTCCAATAGATTTTTGAGGTGTATTCGTAGTTCTACATTATAAAGTTGCATCCTTATATAAACTTTTTCCATAAAAGAGATGTAAACATGTCCTAATACAAGTGCACCCCTTTTAAGCGTAGCAATGCTACCACATTATTGCCCATAAAAAAAAAGAAAAAAAACGATTACCCATTCTATCCTACGTGGAACATGCAATGGGATGCCACATATTGCATAAAATAAGTCGTCATCTTGGCTCGAACATTATAAATGTGAAGAAAAATTAGAATTTCAAGCTCTAAAAATAATGTATATAATAAATTATATAGATCGTCTATTTCGCCCTAAAAATAGGTGTTCATAAATTCATAAGATCTGCATTATTAATTGAGTTTCGAATTTTATTGTCAGTATTGGAAATTTATTTTAGAGCTATGAATCATGATGGAGATTTTCGTTGCCAGGAGTGCTTTCTGGATGAAGATTTGATATGAGGGTTTATTTTGTTGTTATAAAGCCTAGGCCTATAAAAACCTCATCATTTATTAAATTCTGCGAAAGTCAAATATACAATTGAAATTTAATAAAGTGATCAAGGTAATTTTAATAAGGACGGGCTGGCCGCATGATTACATATGCGGTTCCAGAAATGTAAAGCATCCAACTTAAAGCAAGGTGTTTCATTTAAAAAACAAGAGAAACTAACACCTTTAAGCAAGAAAGTGTTCCATTTAAAATCACTAAAATTATTATTTTTAATTTTTAAAATTTACTTACTCTTTCATATTCGTGTCCTTCAAACTCAAGTCCAAAAATCCATCTCAAAAATGGATTTATTAAAATGCCGGCATTTCTAGCGGGCTTGCCGGCGTAAAAACCGTGTCCATAAAACTCTTCAAAATGACACGCACGCACACGTCTCCACATGGCGGCTGGTGGCAGCCCCCGGATCTGTGCAGAGTCGCGGCACGAAAATCAGTTTTTTAATTATTATTAACTTTTTAATTTATCACAAGAAAATATTTTTTTTTTAAAAAGTAAGGAAACCGTTGCCTCCGTTCCTTGAAACGATTGATCAATAAAGTCAATTCAGAGGGAGAGAGAGGGGGTTAAATTGGTGGAATATGATGGTCTCTTCACAAGAATGAGAATATTTCTGGTTTGTGCATTGGGTTCCAAAATTTTATCGACGTATTTGGCTGTTGTAACCGAAATTTTATCCTTCAAGAACCGAGAAGGTCTGTTTTAGAACATTTTGAATTTTGGGGTTTTATTGGTTCTTACCAGGTGTTTCAGATTGCTGGATAACGAATTTTCTTTTTGCTGATTCCAAAGTACCCCATTGTTCATACTTGTCAGAAAAGGTTGAGATTGGGGATTTTAATTTGAGATTGGGTTGAAGGAAATTGAAATCGAAGGGGCCAATTTCTTCATTCTTGGGTTGCTTTGCTATTGATCCCCTTGAGCATTAGTGTTCTTAAAGATGTCTATCACAGAAGTCTCAATTCTACACCACATGGCCATTGTTCTGGCTTTGCTTTGGGTGCTTTCATATTATAATTACTGCCATCCTGTGGTGTACATCGTATCGTTCATTTATATGTACCTGGTAAGTTTGTGTACTTCCGTCATGGAAATTCCTATGTATTGTGAATGCTTATGTTATGGTTGCTTCTGTTATTTACTATTTTGCTGCTTTGCTTCCAATTGGATAGTGGGTGCTTTACATGTTCTTTTTTGGGGACTATTATTTGAAGCTTGGAATTTGAATCTTGGAATCCAAATAAATCATGCCAACGTCTATGAAGGAAAAAAATGGTTATGTTTCTGAGCACCTCCTCACTGTGTAGAAGGTAGGTCATGACTTGTTGTGGAAGATTTTGTGTCATTCTTCCCATTGTTTCACTGATAATGCTGAAATGTTTGATATTCATTTAACCGCTTGGACGATTCATTTGGAAAGTGTGTTTGAGGGAAGTACATTGTTGCCTTTATACAAATGATAAATCACAGAGCACTATAATACATGTACCGGACAATGAAAAGATATGAATAGATATTATAATCTCCTAACACTTCCCCCTAATTGTTACTTGGTTACAAAGAAATATTGTCTATGTTTGAAACTTTCTTACATGGTTACACGGAAAGCTTCTCTTTGTTGTTAGATATGAACAAATATGTATAATCTTCCGACACTTCCCCTTAATTCTTACATGGTTACATGGCCAGTTGAAGTGTGTTTGTAATTAGATATTATTATTATTTGGAAAAAGTTTATATAAGGTTGCAACCTTAAAATGTAGTATTAAAGATGCACCTCAAAAATCCATCAGAAAAGGTTGTTTTAATGTTGAAAAACCCTCTAATTAGTCATCTCGACATCGAGATGTGTAGATATGGAAAAAAAAATGATTTTGAGTTCCAGAAATAGTGCATCTTGCAACACATTATTTAGATCATCCATTTTCAATATTTTCATATGTTTATAGATCTACTTGATTTTAACCATTTTTGGAGTTTAAAATTTTATAACTATATATGAAAATAGACTTTGAGATAATCCTAAGAATTTTTTACACCAAAATTACATATTGTTATAAAATTTGGAGGTGAGCCTTAATTGGATTGTTTAAGGTTGCAACCTTATAAAACCACACCCTTATTATTTACCTTGTTCATACTTTGATTTCATTTTTGTGAACCGTCTCTCTGTTGTCGTGATAATCATTGTCCAGATGGTAGGTCTTCCTATGCTGCACTGCATTATTTGATAATGTGGTGGTTGTGTGTTATCATTGAAAGCAGGTTTTTTCAAGTGAATACCTAATTCTAAAAGTAAGTTAGATGACCATACAACTTCTAGGGGATAAGAAACACAGATCTGTGTTTGGTTTTAGTGATTGACATCCATTGTTTTGTTGCTTTTTGTTATTCCATGGTACTATATTTCCTATTTTCATATGAAGACACGAAACCTTTGCAATTCATCTTCTATTATTAGGGAAGTTTGCCCAGTTAGAAGTTGAGAAAGTTGTTACTTTTGGTTCATCCCTGGCTGGATACATGTATTGGGAAAAGCTTTAAACTCAGGTTCAAGATGGGATTTGGCTTGGTACCTAGATAAATCAACCAGGCAGGACTTGGAATAGTTATTTTAAGGCTTGGCATGCTGAGTTTTAGATTACCCATGTGAGTTAACTTGGTCTTAACTGGAGTTGATATGGTGGCCTGTAAACACTAGTATTAGGTCAGTGCTATGTATCCCTTGGCATTTCTTGAAATCCCTGGATTCTGCATATGATATCCCAGTCGATTTTCTCCATGAACAATGTCTGGTTTCATGAGGTTCAAGCATTGCAGACCCACATCTAGGGTCAGAAACCTTCCTTACCAATAAGTTGGAGATTTGTTTAATTTTGGGGTTCCCAGTGTTTTACCATCCACCAATTTATAATTTTCAACCAGTTCTACACTGTTTATTTTTGGGACAAAACCTACCTTTTGAAAATCATTACTCCTCTTTGCCAATAATTTAGGTAAGGATTTCATGTGTTTACATCTCAAAGTGTGCACATTATCTTTTGTCATTTTCCGAGATGATATGCGTGGTAATGTAAATATTTTTTCATCCATTGATGGATACGCATTCTTTTGATTTTGTTGCCTTTGGGGACAATGTACAGTGTAGTGAAACCAACTTCTCATTATCTGTTGATGAATTGCACTGTATCATTGGATTTAACCTGTGTATGCCTTTGTAAATTGCGTCTTATTGCGTCATAGAGCTGCTGGAATGTGTCTTCAAGTATTTACGTCTTGTGTAATTACGTTCTGTATAATCTGGAATTAACTGCATGGAACTTTATTGGTTGAAACCTAGTGTTGTTCTCTTTTCTTCAAAGAAAGATGCTTGCTGTTTCTTTGTTGTGGTATACGCTAGTTTCTTTATTGTTGTGTTCATATGCGATTAATTTTTTTGTCATGCAATTGTTTTGTTCATATATCTGAAGGTCAATGAACGCTACACAATAAGGCTTCACAAAAGATTAAAGTTTGAGGAAAAGAAGCAAGCAAACCGGAAAAGGGTAATTCATCATCCACTTGTGCTGTCAGTATCGTTACTTTGACATAAAGATTTTATTTGTACAGGGAGATTATAAAATTGATCTATGTTCTTGGTAACATGTATATACAATTTTTATCATTACTAAAAGCCTGATTCTGTTGTGTTTCAGCTTCTTTCTGATTCAGAAACTGTTAGGTGGCTGAATCATGCGGTCGAGAAGATCTGGCCCTTGTGCATGGAACAGATTGCTTCGCAAAAATTTCTCCTTCCCATTATACCCTGGTTTTTGGAGAAGTACAAACCATGGACTGCAGTATGGATCCACTTGTCCTAATCATATGTATATTCTTGCTTCAGCAGCCTGTTTAATTCGTAACTGCTAGTTTAATGTGTTTCTAAGACTCTTCATTACTGAAAAGTTGGTAAACTTGCTCAGTGTGACAGGAGAGTTTGTCAGATCTTTTTGTGATGCAGGATTGATTGTGATGCATGATTGATATTTACTTTTAAATGTCATCTTCTCTGGTTGCTTTGTGCAACATGTAAGCTTAGTACTGATACGGTTGACCATGATACTCTGGAATAGTTTGTAAGGCCCATATCATGGCATCAGAAGTCTTCATTTCATTATTATTTGTTTTCATGCAACTTTTTCCAATTAATCATTCCATAATTTGATTTTCTATGTCATTGTTTCTAACCAGTTGTCTCTATTTTAGTAGCCAATAAATATCAAATAAGCTTGGTTGAAAATGTTTTCATGATTTTGTACAATCATATCTGCGAAATCACTTGTGGCTATTCTAGATCAACTTAGTGGAAGTATAGATTATATACTTGTATCTTTTACTTCTTTTCAGACTGCTTTATAACCTCATTACTTCTTTCAGACTGCTTTATAACCATTAACTTGTTATCATATCTCAAACACAAGCCGGTCCTACACAATGTGGGAAGATATAGCATGAATCTGAGTGAACAGGTTGGCAGTTTAGATAAATTATACCATTCTTCCATGTGAAGTATCTGTGATGGATAGAAAGAACACGGCATCTTTTTCATGTGGCCCAAGAAACTGATTTGCAAATGGGGGCTTGAGATGTGATTTTTTATAAATAACTGAAGGTATAAAAATTTCCCCATTACAAACAGGAAAACTAGAAGCGACCTAGTTTGCTTTTGCGGTTTTAAGGATGTAATGAAGTTATGCAACGAAGGAGATCTAATTGACAATAGGCTGATGATTTTCTGAAATACCAAAAGCATCTCTTTAACATCTTAGGCTTGTCGGATATGTGCTCCAGATGAACAGTGATATTCAGCCTCTTATTAGCTTGATAGGACTATCGCGTTTATCTTGACCATCAGGAGTCCAATGAGTTAATATCCATACATCAATTTGTGAAAGTTGAAAGCGATAAGCCAGCCCAATTGCTGAAATCAAATCATGGGATTCCAGTATTGGCATAGCTTAATGTATCCTCTGGAATTCATGAGTTAAAAGGTGCAGAAGACCAGCTTAGTTACACCTGGAGCACCATTTTGAAAATTAGTGTGCAATTAGATTCTTGGGTGTTGGCACAATTGCTTTGATAGGTGATATAAATGATGGGATGAAAAATGTTATAAAGAATTTTAGCCAACTTCCTGCGGCACCAGTGATGGAGACATGGTAGTTAATGCTGGAAAAATGTAGAGAAAAGTGAAAAAATGGTCTGAATTGGGAGATAAGTGACATGATAGAAAGGACTTGTTCTGTTAACATATAGCAAAGTGGATTCTCGGTGGTCCAAAAATTCCCCTGAAACAAAGAGAGCATTTCTAGCACCTAAGCCTTTGTTCCCTTTCTAGTAATTGGAACTTTTTTTTTTTTTTTTTTTTTTGAGAATGTTAAAAATTTATATATATGTATTTTTTTTTTGAGAATGTTAAAAATTTATATATATATGTAAGAGAATTTCATTTGGGGGAGAAGAGAGAAAAAATATCCAAAGATGGATAGCTTTCGTACAAGGGGGAGAGAGAAAAGAGGAAATAGAATGAAACGGTCTTCTTTTGAGGGTTACAATGAGAGATACAAAACAACCAACCAAAAGAGAGACCCATCCCAAAAATCTGGCTTATAGTCACCGGCTGCTGCTTCCTTGGCCAGAACGTCTGCCTCCTGGTTTGACTCCCTCCATATATGCTTCCAAAAGACACACATACCCCTGCAGAGGTGGTAAATTTCATCAAAGATATAAGCTAGAACCCAAGGAATAGAAGAAACGTTTTTTGGCCCAAGATATCACATTCTTGGAGTCACCCTTGATTGATACCATCTCAATCCTATGGAGTTGTAGAAGTCTAATACCCTCAAGGAATGCAGTGTCTTCTGCCTCCATGGAATCCTTATGGCCAATAAATTTAGATATGGCTGCTACTGTAGCACCCGAGTGGTCCCTAAGGATAGCACCAACTCCCGCAGGTCCTAGGTTCCCTAAGGGCGTGTTTGATAACAGGAACTTGCTTCCAAGAACTTGGAAATTACCTGTTACTGTACATGTTTTCTGTTTGATAAAAAAAATGAAGTTAAATATGTGAACTTCATATTATTGTAGAAGTTCTTCTCTTTACGTTTAAACAAACTTATGTCCGTTTGGACGGAACTTAAAAATAGAAGTTTGTCCAGAACTTTATGTCCCGATAAATTTGAGCCTCTTCACTTATATAAGGTCATTGAATAGTGCCCATCGAAAGCCTATAGTACAGAGAGAAATTCCATTTTTAGTGAGAGAGAGAGAGCGACTCCCATCGTTTCTTCAATTTATGAAACAAAAGGTCATTCGAAGTCCGCCATTTTTTTGAAGCTCCAAGCTCAGTTTTCTTTGCCATGGCCTTTGGTCCAAAGGTCACAGGTCAATTTCATGTCCTTTTGGTTATGAAATTTATACCTTAAAAATTTTACTTTTGAAATTTGAGTGCAGTTGATCGTTTTCAGCAATATCAATGAGATCAATGGGATGTTTGAGTAATATTTCTGTGTATTTTCCTATTGGGCGACTGATGAGAAGATCCAGATTCTCCCTGTTTGTTTGCTCTGCAAATTAGTGGCACAAAGAAGAACTTTAGGTCTGAATAATCAAAAGAAAAGAAAAGGGAAACTTTAGCTCCAGTATGTTTAAAATCTTTCATTTGTTTGTTCGATCATGTGTTTCTTTCACAAACATGGGGTCTAGGTTGCGCACGACTCTATACACAATTTCTAGGGTTTTGGGATCACTTGGGAATTGAGGAGTAGTGATTTTGATTGCTGTTAGAGCTTATGTAATGATTTTGTATTGTGCGTGTCAGTTATATTTCTTTAATTTTTGAAGTTTAGGTCTTATTCATTTCATTGGAAGAATCCAGAGGTTCATTTAGTTGTAGAATGTGTTAGATTTTAACTGAAATTATTCTTTACAAGAAAAGATTAAAAGCTGTGACAGACTAATTACTTTTTATTTGTCCATTGACTCAAAAATTTGAAGCAATGAAAGTGAATTTCGATGTCCTCAATTTATGGTTTTTAACCTTTTCTGAATTCTTGCTGCATTTTAAAGTTGATGGAATCTAGCTATATGGTTTTCCGCATAGAGCATCCGTGGTTTCTTGTATGTGTATTACATTCTTTTGCAAACTATGTTTTATAGGGGATTAGATTTTATGAAATTGGCAGAGGTTGACTTAAGGAGAATAAATGGTATACTTTCATGACTATTGAGTGATTGAGTTATTCTGAGCAACTGTTCTTTGTAGTAGTAACCCATTAGTGGCATTGTGTGTCTGTGTGTTTTTTACCTATCTCATTGGGGCAATTGAGATCTTTATTATAGAATATAATGTAAAATGAAAGAGAAATTTATCTTCAAACGACAAGCATGAAAGAGACATGCCAATTTTTCTCATATGTTAGAAGGCCATGACATAAACAAGTATGCTACGGGGACAATCTAGTGTGCTTTGGTTCATATACTCAAAAGTTTGGAGGAAGCAACACAGAGAAGAGTTGTGTCACTGAAGGATTGCATGTCTACCATGATTTGCCTTGGAACTTTACTTAACATTCCAGGAGGTTATCAAACATAGAAACCCAGAACTTCTTTAAAAATCCAGCAGATTATCAAACACATAAACCCATAACTTCTTACAGTAACTTCTTTCTTCTCAGCAAAGAGGAACTTCCAATTTACAGTTCATGATTTAACTTCCGGTTATCAAACAGACCCTAAAGAACACCCATCGAAATTGAGCTTGAATTGGCCCGGGTTTGGCGGGCACCAATTTGAAGCTCTAGGGACCCTCCTCTTGGAATGCTGTAAAATGGCATTCAAGTCTTGATAGAACGCTGAACTTGGAACTCCTTTAAACCATTTATGTTTTGTAGCCGAGAAGACCAGCTTAGACTTAAGTTGCGCAAAGATAAGTTTTGGGGAGGAGAACGCCCCTCAAAAATCCCATTGTTGTGCTCGATCCAAAGCGCCCAAATTGTTCCTGCTAGGGGTGATTTCCATAGCAGAATGCTTGCTTTTGGCCACGGAAGAGGCTAGATGGCGCAAGGAATAAGAGGAACCTCTTTGGGTAGAACCCACTGAACTTTAAAGAGTGAGAGTATCATTCCCCAAACCTTAAAAGCAGAAGGGCAGTGCAGAAATAAATGGGAGTTAGACTCCTCATCCATTCGACACAGGATACAACGATTAGCTAGGGAAATTCCTATCCTTTGGAGTTGGTCTACTGTAAGGACTTTCATAGAAAGCGCAATCTACATAAACACTTGACTTCTTGGGGGAGCAAAAGAACTCCAGGCTTGAGCCACAATTGAGGAAGGGTTAAGGGTAAAAGTAGGGGGTTGTGTAAGAAACGAGTAGAAAGAAGAGACCGAGAAGACACCTGTAGCAGAGGGAGTCCAAATGATTCGGTCCTGCCCTTGTTGTGCGAGAAAGCAAGAGGATAAAGAATTCGTGAGGTCTGAAAATAGGTTGACCTCTGAGTTTGTTAAATCTCTCCTAAAGAGCGGGTTCCAAGATCTATTGAAACCAGTCAAAGTCATTTCCTCTGCAACTGATGCCCCTTGAGCTCTTGCCAAAGAGAATAATTCTGGGTACTGGTCCTTAAGAGCTTTCCGACCAAACCACGTCTTTCCGACCAAACCACATGTCAAGCGAACCCTTGTTTTCTAAAGGGATTCGGTTTCACCCGAAAGAGGAGACAAGGTGAACTAGAGATGCACCCCCAAAGCTCTAGGATAGGATTATTAGTCAGGTAGCCAAGGGGAAGAAGGCATACGGTATT